ATGACACGGGTTATGTTCTTCTCATATATTTTATGATGGTATAATACTAAACCCCTAACAGGAGGGATTGTGCCTGATATTCATATGATGAAGACATAATCTTTCAATCAGTTTAATTGAGGTCTGGAGCTGGCATGTCAGTAACTACTAGTAGTCTGTTGTTATATATGTATTATTGTCATTTTGTTTATTTTCTTTTGTTTCCCATTCTGACATCGGACTCGGACTTCTCTTAAACTGAGTTTTACTGTGCGTACTGTTGTACGTTTGTTTTTTCTACATTGGCTAGAGGTATAGGGGGAGGGTTGAGATCTCAAAAAACATGTTTAACCCCGCCGCATTTTTGCGCCTGTCCCAAGTCAGGAGCCTCTGGCCTTTGTTAGTCTTGTATCATTTTTAATTTTAGTTTCTTGTGTATAATTTGGAGTTTAGTATGACGTCCATTATCACTGAACTAGTATACATATTTGTTTAGGGCCAGCTGAAGGACGCCTCCGGGTGCGGGAGTTTCTCGCTGCATTGAAGACCCATTGGTGGCCTTCGGCTGTTGTCTGCTCTATGGTCGGGTTGTTGTCTCTTTGACACATTCCCCATTTCCATTCTCAATTTTATAATAGGTAAAAATGTCAAAAATAGGGATACAGCAGTCAACAGCAATAGCAGACATGCTAAAACATACTAAAATCATAAATTTTTAAACAAGGATTGATACTTAGACTGGATTGCCCATAAAAGCATTACGGCTTATTTTCAATGGGGCTAATTTATATTATATTCATAGAAATATCATATAAAGCAATACAAAATCCTGACTTTGGCAGATACTATACCAGAGTACCATAGTATTATACTAATGTTAAAAGTCATTTACAATCACATTGTCTAGACCATGATTCAAGTATTCAATGACATAAAAAAAATTGCCAATATATCAATAACGCATAGCTGAGAGGGTGATATAGCAGATTGTTACCCCGAGAAAACATTGTCAACTGAGGCGAAGCCATGGTTGACAATCTCTTTTCCATAGGTAACAATCTGCTCTATCACCCTCTCAGATATGTGTTATTTAATTTATTATACTGAATGTTCTGTTATAACTGTCTATGAAATTTAAAATTCAACGTCGTCTTGAACATAACAATCATCTGTATTTCCGTGAAGGGTAATAGAGTATTTGCCATGGGATATAGTAAATTGCCTCCTTCGTATTTACCAATCAAAATCTGGCATTTGACATGAAGTATAATAATTATAATTCTACATTTAAACAAGAGGCTCTCAAGAGCCTGAATCGCTCACCTGTTATTTTTTTTGCTTAAATCTTTCATCAATGATTATTTTTGCTTTTTACCCATATGTTCCATTTTAGCCATAGTTTCTATGTTTCTTGACGTACAAGGAAATGAATTACAAAATTTATACTAGATTCATTTGAGAAGATTTTTAAAGTTAAAAAACATAAAACAACTTGTGTAAAATTGTCCTTAAAGTGCAATAACTCCTAAAGGGGTCAATTGACCATTTTGGTCATATAAAACTTTTTTGTAGATCTTACTTTGCTGAACATGTTTGCTGTTTACAGTTTATCTTTATCTTCAATAATATTCAAGATAATAACCAAAAACTACATTTCCTAAAAACAACCAATTTAGTGGCAGCAACCCGACAATGGGTTGTTCGGTGTGTCTGAAAATTTCAGGGCTGATAGATCTTGACCTTTGGAACATTTTTACCCCATGTCAGATTTGCTCTAAATGCTTTAGTTTCTGAGATATAAGCCAAAAACTGCATTTCACCCCTATGTTCTATTTTTAGCCATGGCGGCCACGTTTGTTGATGGATCAAAATTTCGGATACAATTCATAAACTAGATTCCTAAAGGAACATTCATTCAAAGTTAAGAAGTATTAGGCACAATAGTTTCAGAAAAGAAGATTTTTAAATGTTAGCAAACTTGATGAACACATTGCGTAAAATTGTATTTAAAGGGCAATAACTCCTAAAGGGGTCAATTGACAAATTTGGTCATTTAATTTTTCTGTAGATCTTACTTTGCTGAACATTATTGCTGTTTACAGTTTATATCTATCTATAATAATATTCAAGATAATAACAAAAAACTGCAAAATTTCCTCAAAACTACGAATTTAGTGGCAGCAACCCAACAATGGGTTGTTCGATTTGTCTGAAAATTTCAGGGCTGATAGATATTGACCAATTGAACAATTTTAACCGTGTCAGATTTGCTCTAAAAGCTTTAGTTTTGGAGATATAAGCAAAAAACTGCATTTGACCCCTATGTTCTATTTTTAGCCATGGTGGCCATGTTTGTCGATGGATTAAAACTTCGGATACAATTCATAAACAAGATATCCAAAGGAACATTTAGATGAAGTTTGGAGGTATTTGGCCCAGTAGTTTCAGAGGAGAAGATTTTTAAATGTTAGCAAACTTGATGAACAAATTGTGTAAAATTGTCTTTAAAGGGCAATAACTCCTCAAGGGGTCAATTGACAATTTCGGTCATATAAACTTTTTTGTAGATCTTACTTTGCTGAACATTATTGCTGTTTACAGTTTATATCTATCTATAATAATATTCAAGATAATAACAAAAAACTGTAAAATTTCCTTAAAACTACCAATTTAGTGGCAGCAACCCAACAATGAGTTGTTCGATTCGTCAGAAAATTTCAGGGCTGATAGATCTTGACCAATTGAACAATTTGACCCCATGTCAGATTTGCTCTAAAAGCTTTAGTTTTTGAGATATAAGCAAAAAACTGCATTTGACCCCTATGTTCTATTTTTAGTCGTGGCGGCCATGTTTGTCGATGGATCAAAACTTCGGATACAATTTATAAACTAGATACCCTAAGGAACAATTAAATGAAGTTTGAAGGTATTTTGCCCAGTAGTTTCAGAGGAGAAGATTTTTGAAATAGTTTACGACGACAGACGACGACAGACGACGACGACAGACGACGGACGACGACGGACGCCAAGTGATGGCATAAGCTCACATGGGGCCCTTGGGGCCCCGGTAAGCTAAAAAGTAGGAGTTTTCTGATAAACATCTATATAGGAACTTAGTCTTGCGTTCACTTTGTGTAAGATATCATTGACAATAGTTTCCCTGTCTATGTTAGGTGCAATTATTTTACACAATTTCAGTGAGCTAGAATTGGATAGTTATTGCAGATGACTTGAAAATTGCCACTGGAAAGGGGGCGGTCTCAACATACAGATTTGGGTACAGACATCCGGCTGGGGTTTGAAAAATACCCCCATTCATATATTGATTTATGCTAAAATATCTACCCAGTCATATATATCTTATTGGAAAATCACAACCCATGTATATATACTTCCTAGCTAGTATGCCATCTTATTTAGACGTTAACATAGGATCATTCATAGTATTAGATAAAAAGATTAGAACACAGTTTTTACAGACTTCTTAACAGGAGATGCACATTTATGATCCACTGTATATGTGTACCCATTATTATATCACCGCCATGAAATTGCTCCCCACTGATATATAAGACATTCCAAAAAAAGTGACCCATACCAGCGGCACGTCTGTGTATACTTTTATATAGGAAGAGACACCCTACCCCCCTCCCCCGTGCAAATTGCCAACTTTTGCTAGTTTTCGGTTTAAACCAAACAAAATACACTCAGTTTTGTCCAAATGTAGGGATAATTTGTTATCAGTTAACGACATTGACATTAACTTTCTGCTTTCTCTCATCAAATCATTCTATGGAATTTACACCCATCTTTGTAGTTGATTACATAAAATTGAATGTCATGTAGATCAGCTGCATCAAAAGTATTTTGTAGATCTAGCATTATCATAGCCCCATAGATTACATTGTTTTGATATGGTAAGTGAGTAAATTTTTCAACCGACTAAAATATACAAAACAGCACAATACAACAAAGTTTCAAATATATAAAGTACACATAAGCATTAAAATGTAAGCATATATAATTTTAAATAAGATAAACACATGCATATGTCTCTGGCATCAGATTAAGTTATGTGACAAAAATATGGTCAAGTAAATGACAAATCCTTATTTATTTATCGATTTTTTTATAATGTTGATCCGTTAAATAGTTTCCTCTACATTTTAATCGAGATATATAAAGGCAGTGGCTATTTTGTCGGCACCGGGAAGCAAAATAGAAAATATGCTTTTTTGCCGGCTCTGATTAAAATATCTTAATACAAGCTGTCAAAATATCATATTTCTATAGAATTGGCTATTTTACCGGAACCGTCAATATAGTGAATTTATTGCCAGCGCTGGAAATATAGAAAATATGCTAGGTAAGCGAAAACCAAGTTAAAAACTATTTTGTTTACATATATGCACTTCAAAGAATTGACTATTATTTCAAAGGCAAATTTAATTTAAATATTTTTGATTTTTGAAGCTTTGCACGGGATTGATTTTGTTATATTGTATAATGTTTTATCAAATTTATGATGCAATGAGATTTTTAACTTTTATTTTTAAAAATTCTGAGATTTTATTCTTATACATGTAGCATTAGACTGTGACTGATTTTAGAAATAATTTCAACTACATGTTTTGATATGATTTCATTGCAACAAATGGATGCTCAATATTTTTATGTATATTTCTTGTTACAAATTCTTATTTTCACTTTGACTGATAAAATAGCTACTGCCATATATAAAACTGTATTACTAGTATATATCTCTGACGTTTATACTGTGACATGTCTCTCTTATTTCAAAGGTTCCCGCCGTGGTGTACTTCAGAAATACTTGCGATTTTTTTTATTGTGATTAAAAGTACTTGATTTATTCTATAAGACAGCAAAATGAACAATGAAAAATCGATAGACTTTGTGTTTGCAGAATTTACCTCTGCATAGTGTTACTGTAAAAGCTACTATCTGAAACACGCACCTGTCGTTTTGTTTTGAGATTATACTACATATTGTGTGACGTCAGTGGTTGATGTTCATTCATAAACAACACAACACCAACGGTGTGGAAAAGGAAAATAAAAAGAATTAAAAAGCCCTTTGGGCTGTATTTTCATCATGTCACGATCATCGAAGACTTCTTTGCATCATGGATACAGTTTGTTAGAAGTCAAATCCAAGGTAACTTTTTGTTTCGAGTATTTCGTTGTGACCTGGGTCACACCTGTTCAACAGCTTCATTTATCCAGGTAACAATTTTATTACTTTGGCCAAAAAAGCGTGAAGACGATCGTGGGTTATTTCTTACCAAACATTTGCATTTCTATTAAATATTAGAGAGGGGAAAATAGAGAATTTTGGTCCTTTGAAGTTTTCTAAAAATACACCCTTTTATGACAGGTCATATGGAAATTTGCATGCTTGAATACACATGTCACACAATGAGTCATTATTTACATATTTTCTTATCCTGACAAATTTTAAGCATTTGCTACAATTTCATCAAAATAAAAGATAATGGAGTGAAGATTGTGCATTGAAAAAATGGGAAGTTTTTGTGTTCAAAGATCTCGATTGTAGATCTAAGCAATGACATTTTCTTTTTTTTTTAAATCAAAAATATATATAATTGATATAGCGAAGTACTGAATTTTGCATGTATTTTGTATAAACATTGCAGCAACTTGCTGCAAAAGCTTCTGTACAGTATTTTGAATTATCATTCAGTTTTGAAACTTTTAAAACGCTTAACTTCTAAAATCTTTTGATTTTATTATCCTCAAAAACAATGTTTTCAAAAGTTTGATTTAAACATTAACTGGGGGCAATTAAAAGATCCATTTGTATCAATATCAAATTATGGAAGTTTCAAAGATTAAATTTTGATAAATGATAAACTGGTTGGAGACGACATACCAAATAGGGGCCTATTCCCTATATTCCCTATTCCCTATATGAGTAGCAATGTCTCAATAGACTATTTACATATTACAGACTTTTGACTACAGTATATTTAAGTATAATTTTTTGACAGGTTACTTACTCTGTAATTGAACATTCTGGTATTCGTTCAAGCAAAAGAAAGTAATAATTAAGTAAAATCAAGCTTCCAATCTGTGCAATTTGAGGAAAACATTAACTGTTTCATGTTACATTGTACCTATACACAACATAATCAACAGAAAACAACAATTTTTTTCCTCAAATGTTAATTTTTCAAAGTTTTCTAACTAGGGTCAATGTACATGTAGCTTCTAGGTAAATCAGTTTTAGACTATTCGTCTCTTGGAAGATTTGCTGCATTTTTCATGAATCTGGGCCACTTCAGGTATAAGTGTGGATTAAAAAAGAAGTTTTTAACACTTAAAGAAGTATTCTTCATTTGGGGATCTATTCCCCATTTTGCTGATCATCTCCAACCTGCTAAAACCAATGTCTTCTTTTCTCTAAAAATAAATGAATAATTCATATTATGATTATGATGATAAACAAAAGACTTGAATATTATTTTGATTAATTTTCAAGTAACTTAAATTGCATACATAATTTCATAAATGAACTTTTTAGATGCAAAAAAATTTACCTTAAGTCAATTTTTTCAAACTAGGTTGTTAGAGGGGGGGTAGGAGGGGTCCTGATCCTGAAATCCCGGGCTTAAAAACATGGAATCCCGAGGTCCTGAATTTAAAAAAATTTAAATCCCGACATCCCGAAATTCGAAAAAAGAATTCCGGGATCCCGAAAGGATCAATCCCGAAATCCCGAGCTTAAAAACACCCGATCCCGGAGTCCCGATAAAGGTCCTACCCCCCTCTTGTTAGATTTACTTATTATTGATGCTACTTTACCATGATTGTTAATAAACCTGTAAATCATGTGATTAATATCTAAAGCCAAGGTGCATATTACTTGTGGACTTTGTGGAAGCAATACACAGAAAGATATCTTCTGATTAACATGTATCTTCCTGGAAAGCAATACACAGAAAGATATCTTTGACACTAATCAACATGTGTCTTCCTAGAAAGCATTTATGATAATGTTGTACTGTATACTGATCTTTAACACTAACAGTATTTTGTGTTTCTCTGGACATATACATATATATTATACTGGAATGAAATATCCTGGTAAATCCTTCAATTTGATTGGTTATCTAAACAAGGGATACGAGCCCATAGACCCTGTGAACGAAAACAAAGATAAAAATGGTAATTAGTGTTGAAATCATGATCAGGACACTTCAGTATAATATAAATGTTATTTGGGTTTCCCAAGGGATATGGGCTCATATTCCCTGTCAGTGCCTTATATCCCCTTCTCCAGGCGGCTCAGGAGATATAAAACACTAACAGGGAATATGAGCTAATATCCTCTGTGAAGATCCCAAATAACATATAATATACTTTGTTGTGATGAATATGTAAACAACACTGATACATGTGATATTTATGTCAACAAATTGATTTCATATTTACATATTTACAAATACCATATTTCATATTTACAAATACCATAATGATAATGGATGACTGTTTAGCTTCAAGTGGCAAATTAAATGCATATATTTTTAGACATGTCAGACCGAAAACAGTTTCATGTGATATGAATATGAATCCTCCTTTGTACTAGTCCGGCTGCCTGGTCCGGCACACTGAGCCAGATCTTAAACATGCTAGTTCACAAGTTTTGTAAGGCAACAGTCCTTTGAAAAAGCATGTCACACCACCTGGACAATTTTTTTCCGACCCTGAGCTAGTCTTTGCTCTTATTCCTCAATGCCATGTCTCTAGCTGAGACCTTGCAAATACCAGTTTTCAAGTCTTTGGTTTGACTGAGCCTGGGATCAAACCCCTTGTCTCCCACACTCTAAGCAAAACCTTATACAATGAGAAAGGGAGTGAACTTCTCAACATTATTTTCCTTTCAATGAAATGAAGGAATAAACAGAGATGTGAGGTTTAAATACACGAAGGAAACAGCAACCCAACAACACAATTAACCAAAGAACTAATTTTGATATCACATGTACAAACTATATGAAAGATTTTGCATTGATTTTATTTTTTTATTAAATATTCAGTGACATTTTTAAAATATCTTAAATACATGTATATGTAACTGTGGGTTTATATACTTTCGTCGATACCAATTTCGTGGATTGAGGAAAAATTGTAGTTTCGTGGATATTTGAATTTGTGGTTGATTGTTTACCTATACCCAGGAAATGCACGATAATTGGTATCCCACAGATAATAATGTGTCCACAGTATTACAATTTTATGTTGCACTGCTTATACTATTAACATGAAATAAATTTGTCCAATATAACATTTTTTGTGATAAAAATGTAAATGTATATAATAACATTTTGTTGGTATATTTTTTATTGCTATTGAGTTTAATCATTTTAATGGACTGTTGAGTTATCTTTAATGTTATCCAGCAACACCCATAGCTAGCTACATGGCCTAATTTTAGGCTGTATGTATATCAACTCATTAAAAAGGAATATCTTTAAACTGTCTGTAGCTATAATTTTAGGTTTTAGCTGCTACTCATGATGTTTTCATATGTTTTTGGTAAAAATCTCTTTAGAGCTGTAATATTTTATGAATAAAAGGATTATTTGGTGTTTATCAGTGAGACAGCAACTAAAATATGCAGCGCCAAAAAAGACATCTAGGGGTCAACATATGGTTTTCAACAAAAGACAAGTGTCTATACAATATCATAAGCTCTAAATCAACACAAGTTTAGAGAAGTTGTGAAGAAATTTAGCGATCTGCCATCTATTCCAAATTCATTAAGGGAGTACCCAACACTTTGACTAAAATAAATTTGGTTCGTTTAATTTTTATAAAATTTTGACAAAATATTCACTTTGACCTATTGACAAAAATATAAAAATTTCAAGAAATTTGAACCACACAATTTACAGGAATCATTTCATTTGAATATAGCAGTTTGACAAACACTTATTTTGATCATTGAGAATCTTGATTTCTCTTTGCCGTTACTAGTAGTATCTGATTAAAATGTTCAGCTGAATAAAAAAGAGTTAACTCCCTTAGGTTTTCTGTGCCTCCTTAAATAAGAAGAAACTTTAAACTATAACAAAAGACAATCACTGATGATGTTCCTGCCTTGTGACAAGCACATGAATATGTGGCATCCTTTAAATAATTTTTTCATGGTCATCATATTTAGTGACAAAGGTCTGCACTAAAGTTAGATGACTTTGACTTTATGTACACCACATGTAATGTAGTCAAACAAACATTACTATTTATGTTTACACCTTTTTCTGACTTAACTTATTATAATATTTATTTTCAGCTTGATGCAGAATTCAGAAGATTTTCAGTTGACAAGTCAAAACAACGCAAATTTGAAGATTTATATACAAAAGTAGAAAAGCTGCACCGCTTGAAGAATGACCCATTTGTAATTACATATTCAGACAAAGATGGCGATCTGCTACCAATAAACAATGATGACAATTATAACCTTGCACTTCAAACAGCCAAACATATTCTACGTATTATGGTGCAACGTAAAGGTTTGTCTATTATATTAACCTCAAACTATTTTTCTGAAGTTTTGTATTTTGTAAATATTTTGATAAGAGATCAATTAATTTTATTCAGTGCTTAGGACATGTTTTTAAAGGCATTAATACTTTATTCAAGAAAATTAGCTTGTTCTGAGAGATAAAAACTGCACATGGATTTAAACATGTTAATCATCACTCAGACTTATATAGATATATCACGCATGTACTTGTACAACCTTCACTAACATATAAATTTAAATAGGTATATTTCTGTCCTATGTAAAACATGCATTGTATAACATACACTTCCTCTGTTTTTTGTATGGTTTTTCCATTTTCTTCAATTTACATTTGTAACTGTTAGATTTAGCAAAAATTTAAGAAAGTGACATTTAGGAACTTTGTCTAGTATTATCCAGGAATATAAAAATAAGGAGATCTATGTCAGGTATGATTGCCAATGAGACAACTGTCCACCAAAGTTTAAATGAAGTAGATGTAAGCAATTATAGGCAACCGTATGGCCTTCAACAATGAGGAAGTACAGATTTCCTTTACTGATAAAACTTTTAGCTTTAATTGCTATTGAAGTTGAACTTATCCTCAGCTAAATTTGTTAATAAAAGCTTTTCTATTGTTTTATCATTGGAGGAAAGTGGATTAGAATGCATATCTTCATGTACTGTGTTTATAATAATGTGTTATCAGTAAGATAACAGTAGTAAAGATTTACAAACAAAAATATTTGCAGAAAAAAAGAAAAAACATGGTATAAAGACTTCATGGTGGTGATTTTTCAGTCAATGTTATCTAGTCATTTTTTGTTGATTCACTCTGAAATATCTCTGTTTATTTCACTTCTATTCCATTTGTTTATGATAGGTTTGTCTTATAAATTGTTATCACTAGCATTTCAACTTGATTAACAGTGATTCCCTAAACACAAGCAAGAGTGTTTTTATGCCTCACCTAGGGGCATTATGTTTTTCGGTCTGTGCATCCGTCCATCTGTCCCGCTTCAGGTTAAAGTTTTTGGTTAAAGATTTTGGTCAAGGTAGTTTTTGATGAAGCTGAAGTCCAATCAACTTGAAACTTAGTACACATGTTCCCTATTATATGATGTTTCTAATTTTAATGCCAAATTAGAGTTTTGAGCCCAATTTCACGGGCCACTGAACATAGAAAATGATAGTGCGAGTGGAGCATCCATGTACTATGGACACATTATTGGTTTTTTTAACTAAATCAGCTTAAGAGTACAATGCATTCGATATATCTGTATATTAATTGATTGTTGGTATTAGTATTTAACCCCACTTTTAACACAATTTTAACACACTTGACTATATCAATTCATGGCGGTCAATTTCTGTATGTTGAGTAAGCCAGTGTTCTCAAAGAGATCAGACCTTCTGGGGGAAAACTGACAATCCTAGTCAATAAGATTATCAAAGTCGAACTCACCTTGCCTGAGTATTGAACTAAAAACCTCAGTGTTGGCAGACTAGTGATCACTGTGGATGAACGTCTTAGAACATTATCCACTCAGGTCCCTTGATATATAAAGGTTTAATTAAGGTTTTGAAGCTATTGGCAGATACAATACATGTTACAAGTTCATTATTGTATTGGTCTTAATTCATTGCTGAACACTGAACAAGGGCATATAAAAGAGTAGATATCTTTGTAGACAAGTTATCATACCACTTCTTTTATACATTGCACTTCTGAAATTTACACGGAAAATAGCACTTTGTAAGATTTGAATTAAATATTTGAGATTTATGCAGATAAGTCCATGTGTACACGTTCATAATAGTATTACCAATTTTTCACACCAATTATACACATATATTTACAGAGGAATGTGCATTTGAAGTGAATGGGTATGGCACGCTTCAAAAGAAGAAAAATGCAATAAGTAAAATGTTGAGCAGTGAAACACCTCCAAAGCCTCGTATCAAAATTAGTATGCCAGAAGATTTTAGACGAGTATCTGCCATAATAGATGTTGACATAGTACCAGAAACACATCGTCGTGTCAAACTGATGAAAAATGGTTCAGATAAACCATTAGGATTTTATATTCGTGATGGAACAAGTGTTCGAGTAACTCCACAAGGTTTAGAGAAAGTGCCAGCCATTTTTATTTCACGTTTAGTCCCAGGAGGTTTAGCTGAGAGCACTGGACTGCTAGCGGTTAATGATGAAGTATTGGAAGTGAACGGCATAGATGTAGCCGGAAAAACTTTGGACCAAGTTACAGACATGATGGTAGCTAATAGTTCTAACCTAATAATAACTGTGAAACCGGTAAATCAGAGACTGACTCTTGCCACCGCTCAACGTGGTGGTGTTGGGCGACATTCCCAAATGTCCAACATGTCCCAGAGCTCCCAACATTCTTCCCAGAAATCTTATGAAAGTGACATTATAAATGAACATGAAGAAGATGATGATGAGGTTCAAGATCTGCTGCCAAACAGTGATGAAAAGTCAGAAAAAGATAAAAATAGTGCTGTAGTAACGTTATAGTTTGGTTGTGACATCCATTTTGATGCATTGTCATGAAAAAAAGTGCATTTACTGTATATTTGTTATTCTAATATTTCACTTTGAATATTTTCCTAACAATTTGTGTACGTAGACTTTTGAGACATTTTGTACTTGTACACTAAAACCTATATGCTTTCACTTGAATAAATATGATAAGTCAGTTCCTTAAATTTGATAAAAAAAACACTTTGTTTAAGCAACATTCTTTAAAAAAATAAACTGCTACAAATCCTTTGAAGATGATTTATTTTTGGTTTCCTCATGCAAAAGGGTAATTAGTCATTTCTTGTCCATTTACATTTGTAATAAAAGATATCAATTTATTGAATGTATAACTTTATTAATTTGTTAATTATAATGTGTAATACTCGACTTGCTCCCTCCACAGGTTTTCCAATCTTAAACCTGAAACTGAATTCCTGAAATGGTTCCATTTGGAAGGAAATAATGTTTGTTAGTATAGTAAAACTAGGAGCCTTCTTATTAAGTTTGTAAGTCTTCCACCATATAAAACTAACAGTGATTTTGTTAACACTGGTGTTTAATAATGAAAGTTTGGCTGTGTTTCATAAATTGCACCTTTCATAGCATATTTTAAGTTCCCAGGGAGTACGGATGTGTGTATAAGGGTGGATTGTTTCAGATTAAATATCCAATTTATGTGTGCAATTGGTTATTAATATGTGTACAATTGAATATTTATGTGTACAATTGAATATTTATGTGTACAAATGAATATTTATGTATACAATTGAATATTTATGTGTACAAATGCAAGTGCAATGATTATTTTTAATTGGATCAGGACTGGTACCTGTACTTGAACGAACAGTCCGCCCTGTATAAGATATACTTGAACAAACACTCCACCCTGTACAAGATATACTTGAACGAACAGTCCGCCCTGTATAAGATATACTTGAACAAACACTCCACCCTGTACAAGATATACTTGAACAAACACTCCACTCTGTAATAGATATACTTGAACAAACACTCCACCCTGTACAAGATATACTTGAAATTGTGTAAATATAATTTTAGAATAAGAACTATAACTCTGATAACTTTATCACTGAATGCACACTTATAACAACTAAATGTAATAATACAGGTGTGCAGTGTGTGAAGATTTATATTTTTTTATATTTCATGTATTCTGTAGTTTTCAAGAGGTTAGACAATTGTTTTAACTGCTGAAAGGTTGTGATTATTTTACTATACAATGTATATGGACCATTTTGTTATTTTTTTTTTTAAAGAAAAGCACTTGCCTTTATAATTGATTTTTAATGTAAATGATGAGTTGTGAATATTTTACAAAATATTTTCCCTTGTTTGCTTTTTCTCATCTATGTGGAGATTTTTCTCCAAGATGAATAGTCTTTTATATTTATTTATCATGTTTATATAATCGAGGTTACAATATTTGTTTCTGTTTGTTGTGTTGTGCAATGGAATGTCAGTTTCACTTCCACTATTTTTGCAGATGGACCTGTAAATTGCATGAATTCACTTTTGAAATTTGATGTTAAATTACAGTGAAGTCTCTGAATCATGTTACACAGCCACATTTTTATCCGTCTGTTTATGGGACGTATTATGTATACCTTTGTCCACCTCTGTCTATCTGTCGTCAACACTTCAGACATTAACTCAAAACCACTTTCACCAATTTTTATGAAACTTTAGGGAATTGCTTATATCTATTGAAGTAAGCTCCCTTTCGATTTTTATAAATATAAGATTTTACGTTGCCAAGTTGTGGGATTTTATTCATAAAAAGATTGGTGATTTTTATCAAAAAAATTTTGCGGTCGTATATTGGTATGACGTTGGCGTTGTCGTCCGAAGACACATTGGTTTTCGCACTCTAACTTTAGTTTAAGTGAATGGATCTCTCTGAAATTGTACTGCAAGGTACCATACCACAAAGGGAAGGCTGGGATTGATTTTGGGGGTAATTGCCTCAAAATTTTAGGAATTATGGGGCCAAAAAGGGTAAAAAAACAAGTATATTTCTAGTTTCAAGACAATAACTTGTGTGTAAGTGTATGGATCTTTATGAAATTGTACTACAAGGTTCCATATCACAAAGGGAAAGCTGGGTTTGAGTTTGGGGGTAATTGCCCTAAAAGTTTAGGAATTTGGGGCCAAAAAGGGGCCTAAAAACAAGCATTTTTCTAGTTTCCAGACAATAACTTGTGTTCAAGTGTATGGATCTCTCTGAAATTGTACTGCAAGGTACCATACCACAAAGGGAAGGCTGGGATTGAGTTTTGGGGTGATGAATCATAAGGGGGTTCAAAAAATTTGGGGGAGTGATTTTTTTTTTCTTTAAAATTTTCCATTTTAAATTGGTTATTTCTGATTTATATATAAAAGCAAATAATAATGATATGGTTTTAATAGGTAAATTAAAAAATTTTAAGTTCTTAGACCACATTCATTCTGTGTCAGAAACCTATGCTGTGTCAAATATTTAATCACAATCCAAATTCAGTGCTGTATCAAGCTTGAATGTTGTGTCCATACTTGCCCCAACTGTTCAGGGTTCAACCTCTGCGGTCGTATTAAGCTGCGCCCAGCGGAGCATTTTATTCATTTTTCTGACTTTAACTCAAAAATACTTGAAACAATTTTCATGAATCTTTGGTGAATTGTTTGTATATATTGACATCAGTTCCCTTTCGATTTAAAAAAAATTCTGATTTTACGTTTTTGGAGTATTGGGACTTTATTCATAATAAAAGGGGGGATTTTCCAGTTTTCAGACAATAACTCAAAAATGCTTCGAGCAGTTTTCATGAAACTTTGGTTGTTTGTTTATATCTATTGAAATAAGCTCCCTTCTGTATTTTATGAATTTCTGATATGACATTGCGGAGTTTAGGAACTTTCGAGATAAAAGGGTGACTGGCGTATCATGCGCTCAATTGAATATAATTTGTATAAAGCAGAGACTATGCTATAGTATTAAAGTGAATTTATTTAAACATATCTTTTGTATTCCAAGGATTGCAGTGTTGATATAAATATATACATACAATTTTATGCTGTTTTTCATTTAGGAGATTTTGGTGCATGATAAGTAAAAATCATTAGCTTAGACTTGGAATGATTTACTGTAAAAGTTGCCATTAATATTTATCAGTTAATTTGTGTGTGTTTCTGTAATTCCTGTTTGCCTCACATAAATCCATGGATCAAATTTTTTTTCAGAGTCATATACTCTAATTTGTGTTACGTATATATGTACCTAGGGGAGAAAAGATAAAAATTCTAATTAGCTTTTTAAGGACCAATTGATACAACTGACATACCAGTCAGAACTTATCAGTTCATTTCATTAGAGAGGATATTAAACAAATAAATGAATCACCTTGTGTGTACAAATTCAAATTTGATGGAATTTTAGCCCTTTTGTGAACCTTATCCTTAAAGTTGTATCTGTAAATCATTCCAGGTTTAAATGATTTTGTTTTTATTTTGTGTACGTTGCATTGTTTATGTGTGGAAACAAATGTAATATATATTCATTATATTCTTATGCATGTTTTACCGTTTTAGGTCTTTTTATACTTGTATTTAAATCATTTTATATGAGACTAGCCATATATGTTATTATTTATTGTCCAAAATAAATCTGCCCTAGAAATTGTCCCTATTTTTAGTGGACAGCCGATGATATTCTAATTAACAGCATTTTTCATATCACTTCGTCAGTTATCTCAATCTAAAAACTTGTGAATTCATGATTTGTGATTTTGTGAAAATGAAAATATCCTCAATTTATTTAATGGATTTTTTATTTTAAAAACAAAAGTGTTCAATATAGTGATAGTGTATATAAATGATTTTCACACTAACTTGAACATCTTCTTTATTGATTTCCTTTTTTCTTCAATAGGTATATGAATCAAAATATATACATGTATATGGTTTATGATAATGTATCATTGGAAAAGTAAGGAAACCCAAAGAAACAAGAAATAGTTAATGGTCCAAATTGAAGGATGTTTATATGCTTATAAAATGTTAGCTCAAAATTTCCTGACTTAAATCTACCATTTGTTTAATAAATTTCCTTAATGACTTCAAAACCTTCTTTTATTGTCCAAACTGTATATATAGATCAACCTAAACTACATCAGTAATTTCATTTATTTTGATCTTTTTGGAAAGTCATAATGTTTATAGATAAAACAGCAATACAAAAAGAACTTTATCTAGTCATTGTAAAAATTAGTTTAGATTTTTTTTCTTCTGTAAGCCATTAGACAGCTAGCTAGATTTAGAAATGCTTTTATAAAAAAAAAATTTCTTTCATTTTTTTTCGTTAGAATTAACATGTATAATATATTGATGATGCTTCCTAGGTACTGTATAGTCTTAGAATTGAGGTACACTGTATATTAACAGTGAGTTTTTAACATAAAGTCTTACATTCCATAATATTTTGCCAAATTTTCCAGTCCAAACATTCTTTCTGAAAACAAGAGATATATCCTAATTATACCCACACAATTTTTGCTTCTGGTATAATGTTTTTGACCCGTCTGTCCGTCAGTCCTGTTCTTGTCATCGCAACTCCTCTGAAACCACACAACAGAATTTCATGAAACTTAATAGATAATAAGCACATACTATGTAGATGTGCATATCGACAGGAAATTATGATTCAATTTTTTTCTAGGAGTTATGCCCCTTTGCACTGACAATGTGGGGGCGTGGGATATGTGAGCGTGCTCACAAAGGTTCTTTAATTACAAAAAAATGTATTTCTACATGAAGTTTTGAGGTTATTGAAAAATTTATCGTACTAGTCAGAACCAGTTTAAATACATTGCCCTTTTTCTCTGGATGAATGTATTGTTTTTTTCTGATGCACATTTTTTAACCACTCCCCACTCCCACTACCCTAGGTGAAATATACAATATTTTGTGTAATGCAATTATACATATTAAGCACAAATCTACAGCAATAGATGTTATAATACTATAATATGAATTTTATAAAAAAATGCAAAAAATATATTCATATAATATCAATAAGAAAGGGGTACATAGGGAAACCCTTAAAACTATTATTTTTTTATTTTGGCCTAATAAACCAGAATATTTTTTATCATAGTCTGATCAAACTGCCATAACGCTAGTGTTGAGAAAAATATAATCAAACAAGGAGAACCTAATATTCTGTACATGGAGATACAGATAACTTCAGTGTCTACAGTGGCTTGTTAAAATATATTGATTTTTCCCCTTCTATCTACCAACCAAAAGTATTTCACCAATATTTGATGAAACTGAACTTCTAATGATTATAATTTGACTTTTACATAAAAGTATTTAGTTTAAGAGTCCCACGAGTTTAACTTCTAACCATCCACTATTTAGAATTAATGACAATTGCTCAACAGAGGGTAATTTTGAATAGTAAAATGTATGTTACTTAGTATCTAAAATTGTAGGTGTTTTCTTGTCAATTAAACCCAGTTGGAAGTATTGAACGTATTATAAAATGAAAGTAAAGAAAATGATAAGTTTTAATAATACACTATTCCATATAATACTTTTTTCATGAATTTTATTTAGTTTTCATTTAAATGCTCTGAACAAGAAGTATTAACATTTTTTTCATACTATTGCAATTATAGTTAGAATTTCAGACCAGCTATTTTTTTACTTTCATTCATTCCTGCCAACTTGTAAAGAACTATTAATTTCAATTGTATCACTCACAGATCCACTGTATTAAGTATTTTAATGTAAGACTGAAGTTATTTTACATGTGAACACAGCCAGACTGTTGGTTTTAATCCATTGTTTTACTATATACTGTTGTTACTTGGATCATAATTTGTAAAGTATATTTTAATA